AACTGGGACGTACCAATGTCTGCAAGGGGCGGGGGGGATTTGGGGGTGCCCGGGCTGTACCAAAAGGGGGGTTGGACCATTCCAAGTAGATTTAGGGGGGTCTGGACCGTACCAAAAGGGATTTTGGGGGGATTTGGGCCAACTGGGACGTACCAATGTCTGCAAGGGGCGGGGGGGATTTGGGGGTGCCCGGGCTGTACCAAAAGGGGGGTTGGACCATTCCAAGTAGATTTAGGGGGGTCTGGACCGTACCAAAAGGGATTTTGGGGGGATTTGGGCCATTCCAAGTGGATTTTGCGGGGACTGGAACATTCCAAGTGAATTTTGGGGGGTCTGGACCATTCCAAGTGGATTTTGGGGGGATTTGGGCGGTTCCAAGTGGATTTAGGGGGGGTTGGACCATTCCAAATTGATTTTGGGGAGTCTGGGCTGCACCAAAAGAGGATTTTGGGGGGATTTGGAGCATTCCAAGTTTGGAGGGGGGGGGATCTGGATGGTACCAAATGGATTTTCGGGGGGTCTGGAACATTCCAAGTGGATTTTGGGGGAATTTGGACCATTCCAAATTTATTTAATGGGGTTTTGGACCATTCCATGTGGATTTTGGGGGGGGCTGGACCATTCCAAAAGGGATTTTGGGGGGATTTGGACGGTTCCAAGTGGATTTTGGGGTGATTTGGACCATTCCAAGTGGATTTTTTGGGGGATTTGGACGGTTCCAAGTGGATTTTGGGGTGATTTGGACCATTCCAAGTGGATTTTTTGGGGGATTTGGACGGTTCCAAGTGGATCTGGGGGGTCTGGGCCGTACCAAGTGGGGCCCTGGGGGTGCCCGGCCGGTCCCATCGCGCGGCGCTCAGAGGGGGGGGAGGGGCGGCTCTCGCTACAGACAAAGTTTTGGGTTTTTTTTATTCTCATTTTCTCCCGCGAAAAGGCGAAAAAACCAAAAAAAAAAACAACAACGGAAAAATAAAAACGGCAAAAAAACAAAAAAACCAAAAACCCGAAATGAACACGGCGACAAAAAACCCAAAAAACCCCAAAAAAATCCCCCAAAAAATCCCCCAAAAACCGCAACGAAAACCCCCAAAAACCAAAACCCCGCAAGGAGCAACGGGGAGGGGGCGGGGCTTAAAACGGGGCGGAGCTAACCAGGGGGGCGTGGCCGCTGGGCTATATAAGGTAAAAGGGGCGTGGCCATGAACGGGCAGGGTTAAAATGGGCGTGGCTAAACGGGCGTGGTTAAACCTGTCCATTTAAGGGCAAAGAGGCGGGGTCACATGGATGGGCGTGGTTACGGGAAGGGGCGTGGCCGGAAGTGCCAAAAATAGACGGGTGGGGGCGGGGCTTCAGTAAAAATTCCCTTTTTTTTGGGTTTTTTTTGGCTTTTTCCAGCTTTTTTTTGTTTTGTTTTTTTTAATTTTTATTTTTGGGGTTTTTTTTTTTGGTTTTTTGGCATTTTTTTCCCCTCCCCCCGCGGTTTTTTTTGGGGGGAGGGGATTTGAGGTTTTTTTGGGGGGTTTTTTTCTATTTTTTTTGGGTTTTTTTGAGGTTTTTTTGGCTTTTTTTGAGGAATTTTTTGGGGTTTTTTTGAGGTTTTTTTGGCTTTTTTGAGGGGTTTTTTTGGTCTTTTTTTGAGGTTTTTTTGGATGTTTTTTTGAGGTTTTTTGGGAGATTTTTTTGAGGTTTTTTATGAGGATTCTTTGGGCTTTTTTTAGGATAAGGCCACCATGATGAAGATGATGGCCACCAAAGCCATGAACATCATCACCAGGGCCATCAAGGACACCATGGCCACTGTGAGGATGATGATGACCACCAAAGTCACTGTTGATGGCCACCACAACCACCATGATGATGATGATGGCCACCAAGGTCACCAAGGCCACCATGATGGTGATGATGGCTGCCATGACCATGGGCATTGTCACCAAGGCCACCGTGGTCACCATGATGAAGATGATGGCCACCAAAGCCATGGACATCGTCACCGGGGCCACCAAGGACACCATGGCCACTGTGAGGATGATGGTGGCCACCAAACCCATGGACATTGTCACCATGGCCACCATGATGATGATGATGGCCGCCATGGCCACCGAGGCCATGGCCAAGGTCACCAAGGCCACCACAATGGTGTTGATGGCCACCATGATGATGATGATGGCCACCAAGGCCACCAAAGACACCAAGGCTATGGCCAAGGCCGTCATGGCCACCATGATGAAGATGATGGCCACCAAGGCCATGGCCAAGGTCACCAAGGCCACCATGATGGTGATGATGGTCGCCATGACCATGGACGTTGTCACCAAGGCCACTGTGGCCACTGTGAGGGTGATGATGGCCACCAAGGTCACCAAGGCCACCATGATGGCCACCATGGCCACCAAAGCCACTGTTGGTGGCCACCTTGGCTGCCATGATGATGATGATGGCCACCAAGGCCACCAAGGTCACCAAGGCCACCATGAGGGTGATGATGGCCGCCATGGTGGCCACGGTGGCCATCCCCGTGGTGGTCAGTGCCGCTAGGGTTGGTTGTGGTCACAGTGGTCATGACGGCCACTGTGGCCACCGTGACAATGGTCGCCATGGCCACCGTCACAATGGCCACCATGACCGCTGTCCCGATGGCCGCCGTGGCGATGACCATGACCATCAAAATGGCCGCCGTGGCCACCATGACCACCATGACGATGACCATGACCATCAAAATGGCCACCAAGGCCACCATGAACATGGCCACCAAGGCCACCATGACCACCATGATGATGGCCACCATGACGATGACCATGGGCACCATGACCATGACCATGAGCATCGAAATGGCCACCAAGGCCACCATGAACATGGCCACCATTGTCCATTTTTGTCACTTTTTCTCCATTTTTGTCCATTTTTGTCCATTTTTGTCCATTTTTTGTCACTTTTTCTCCTTTCCCGACCATTTCTGGCCGGATTTTTGTCCATTTTTCTCCTTTTCCAACAATTTTTTGTCCATTTTTCTCCATTTCCGACCATTTTTTGGTCCATTTTCTCCTTTTTTGGCCATTTTCGGCCACTTTTTGTCCTTTTCTGGCCGTTCTTGACCAGTTTTGTCCATTTTTCTCCTTTTTTGTCCATTTTCCTCCCTTTTCCTCAATTTTTCTCCATTTCTGTCACATTTTTTACCAATTTCCCTCCTTTTTTGTCCATTTTTATCCATTTTTTTCCATTTTTCTCCATTTCTCTCCATTTTTCTCCATTTTTCACCCATCTTTCTCCTTTTCTTGCCATTTCTTGTCCATTTTTCTCCTTTTCCTGACAAATTTTCTCCATTTTCACCATTTCCGACCATTTTTGTCCATTTTTTATCCATTTTTGTCCATTTTTTATCCATTTTTATCCATTTTTATCAATTTTTCTCCATTTTTCTCCATTTTTTGTCCATTTTTCTCCTTTTTGACGATTTTTTGTCCACATTTTTCCTTTTTTCTCCATTTTTGTCCCATTTTTTCTCCATTTTTCTCCATTTTTTGTCCATTTTTCTCCTTTTTGACGATTTTTTGTCCACATTTTTCCTTTTTTCTCCATTTTTGTCCCATTTTTTCTCCATTTTTCTCCATTTTTTGTCCATTTTTCTCCTTTTTGACGATTTTTTGTCCACATTTTTCCTTTTTTCTCCATTTTTGTCCCATTTTTTCTCCATTTTTCTCCATTTTTTGTCCATTTTTCTCCTTTTTGACGATTTTTTGTCCACATTTTTCCTTTTTTCTCCATTTTTGTCCCATTTTTTCTCCATTTTTCTCCATTTTTTGTCCATTTTTCTCCTTTTTGACGATTTTTTGTCCACATTTTCCCTTTTTTCTCCATTTTTGTCCCATTTTTTCTCCATTTTTCTCCATTTTTTGTCCATTTTTCTCCTTTTTGACGATTTTTTGTCCACATTTTTCCTTTTTTCTCCATTTTTGTCCCATTTTTTCTCCATTTTTCTCCATTTTTTGTCCATTTTTCTCCTTTTTGACGATTTTTTGTCCACATTTTTCCTTTTTTCTCCATTTTTGTCCCATTTTTTCTCCATTTTTCTCCATTTTTTGTCCATTTCCCTCCTTTTCGTCTCCATTTTTTGCCTTTTTCCACCATTTCCGTTCTCTTTTCTCTTTTTCCTCCTTTTTTGTCCAATTTTCATCTTTTTTATCCAATTTTCCTCCTTTTCCCCCATTTTCCATCCGTTCCTTCCACCTCCATTTTTGCCTTCATTCCACTTTTTTTTCTTCCTTTTTTAACCTTTTTAAATATTTTTTTTAAATTTTTATTTTCGGTCGGGATTTTTTTTTCATCTTTTCCGAGTTTTTTTCTGATTTTTTCCTGATTTTTTTTCCTTTATTTCTCCCAATTTTCTTCTTTTTTCCCTTTTTTTCCTTTTTTTCTTCCTTTTCTCCTTCTTCTTTCCCAATTTTTCTCCTTTTTTTTTCTCTTTTTTCTCCTTCTTCTTCCCCAATTTTTCTTCTTTTTCTTCCTTTTTTCTTTCTTCTTTCCCATTTTCACTCCAAATTTTCTTCTTTTTTCCCCAAATTTTTCATTTTTTCTCATTTTTCCCGACTTTCTTTTCGCCTTTTTCTTCTTTTTTTTCCTCAAATTTCTCTTTTTTTCTTCATTTTTTTGCTTTTTCTTCCACTTTTTCCCATTTTCCTCAATTTTTTTCCTCATTTTTTCCCATTTTCTCCATTTTTTCTCCAACTTTTTCTTCCATTTTTCCCAATTTCTTCAATTTTTTCTCCTTTTCTTCCATTCCTTTCATTTTTCCCATTTTTCTTGGGATTTTTCCCCTTTTTCTTCAATTTTCCCATTTTACCCCAATTTTTTCCCATTTTTCCTCACATTTTCCCTTTTTCCTTGATTTTCCCCCCAATTTCCCTCATTTTTCCTCATTTTTTCCCTCCATTTTTCCCATTTTTCTTGGGTTTTTCCCTTTTTCCTTGATTTTCCCCCCAATTTCCCTCAATTTTTCCCCTTTTCCTTCAAATTTTCCCTTTTTTCCCATTTCTTTCCATTTTCCCCCATTTCCCTCAATTTTCCCCCTTTTTTCCCTTTTTCTTCATCCTTTCCCAATTTTCTTCCATTTCTCCTCAAATTTTCCCATTCCTCTTCAATTTTCTCCCATTTTTTCCCATTTTCCTCCATTTTTCCCTCAAATTTTTCCCTTTTTCTTCCAATTTTTCCCCATTTTTTCCCATTTCTTTCATTCATTTTTTCCCATATTTTTTCCCATTTTCCTCCATTTTTCCTTCAAATTTTCCCCATTTTTCCCCATTTCTTTCCTATTTTTTCCCCATTTTCCAAATTTTTTTCCCATTTTTTCCCCATTTTTTCCCCCTTTTTTCCCTTTTTTCCCCTTTTTTTCCCACTTCTTTCCTATTTTTCCCCATTTTTCCATTTTTTCCATTTCCCCCATTTTTTCCCCATTTTTTCCCCATTTTCCCCTCAAATTTTCCCCATTTTTTCCAATTCTTTCCTATTTTTTCCCGTTTTATCCATTTTTCCCCATTTTCCCCATTTTT